AGTTCTAGGATGAACATTATATCGGGCATTGATTGTTTGATGATTTCAAACTAGATTTTACAACCAATTCCATCAAAAACTCACAATTTTTAAAAAAAAATAATTTTTCGAAATTAAAAAAATCAAAAATCTGAATTTAATTTTAAAATTTGATGTTTTTGATTTAATTATGTTGTTTTCATGAAAACTATACATATTATGATTTTTCAAAAATTATTTTCAAATAGTTTTCAAAACCTTGCCCATTAGGATTCGGTTTAGAGAACCTTGATCCCGTTCCTAGGACTTCATCGAGTCGTTCAACCCGACCTCCTAATCCCGTTCCTCCTCCACCTAATAGTCTTATAGGATCCTGTTTTAATATGCCTGAACGTCGTAGAGACGACTTGTACTCTAGGTACATAAATTATTTTCAATCCTATAGAATCCGGGAAGAGTGTATTCCTTCTCTTCAAGCCATGATAGATATTGACTTCGAATACCTTCCGATTCTTAAAACTTGGAAGTTTGATAAAATGTTTCACCTCAAACCTATCGTCTATCATCATTTAGTTTGCATTTTCTACTCCAATGCGGTATGTATTCAAAACCAGACTCAGTGTGGAACTATAGCAATCAGATCCTACCTTTTAGGACAATATATTAATATTGACCTCGAGACTATAGCTTTCCATTTTAGGTTAGATGACGATGGTATTTATAATGAGAATGAAACTGTGGATTGTCCCTATGTTCCAAAAGCTAGTATTAGTACTCTACGATCTCATCACGATCGTTTTCTTTATTTGATGATCTCTTGGTGGTTTAGACCATCCGGAGGTAGGTACTCCACTCTTCGTATGAGAGATTTGGTGGATGCACTGTCTCAAGAATAAGAACAAAATAAATCTGGCCCATATTATATTTAGTCAGCTAGTAGATATCATAAACATTGTTCCTTCAAAACATGTCGAAACATTAGTTTATGGATGTCTTCTTAGTAACCTTTTTATCAAACTTGGTCTAAACGTCTCTCTTGACAATCCCATCCCTCTCCAAAATCAAATCAATCTCACCTCGTTAAAGAAAGCGGATTGAAAATAAGACGAGGAAATCGGTCTTTGGGTCTTTCGACCCTGTAATCAAACTCCGAGAGCGAGTTCTTCACGAGCTGCTCCTAGCTCCTCTCGTGCTCCTCCTCCTCCGGCTGCTGACGATGATACCGAACTTCAACAGCTTATGCAAGATATCGACGATCACGTACCAGATTATGAGCCTGCACTGGAACCAGCTCCACAAGAGGATCAAGTGCCTCCATATTTTCGTTCGTTTTCTGAGACATTTGATCTACGGTATGCTTCCATTGAAACTCACTTGACTGCTACTCATGAAGCGGTAAATCATCGCTTAGACACTTTGGAAGTTCGACAGATGGAGTTTCAAAGGGAGATGCTTGCATGTATGGATGCTCTTACTCTTGAGATGCAATCACGATTTCCTCCTCCTCCTCCCGATCCTTCTATAGACGAGTATACATTGTTTTGTTTTGGATCATCTTTGAACTTTTCTTGTTAAAACATTTTTGAATGCTTTGGGATTATTGTTTTCTTTGGATTGTTTGAATTTGTTTGGAGGTATAATTTGGATGTTTGGAAGTTTGAACTTAATATATATATTTAGTTTGGTTGAATTTTCTTATTTTTGCATCATTAGACATATATGACCAATTATGCCATTTCACATTTGATTATGAATATTGTTTATGAAAGCTAATGGCTAATCTCTCTTTTGATCTTTGATCGTAGCTGCTTAAGCTATATATATATAATCAATGGATATGTTTTTCAAAACCTTGTTTAATTTTTTTTAAGTCTTTTTGATTTAACAAAAAGGGGGAGAAGTGTAAAAGTGTTAAAGGGGAGAAGTGTTAGAGTAAGGGGGAGTAATTTTTAAAATTTATTTTTAAAGAAAATCTTAAAATTACACACATGTTTTGTTATATCAAAAAGGGGGAGATTGTTGAAAACATTTTGATGTTTCGATATAACAAATTAAGTATAAATGAATTTTAAGATTTTACAAATGATTTTCTAAGTATATTCGATTTAATTACTCTAATATCAAATTATTACTCCAAGTCTTCAAAGATCAATTTCAAACCTTACTAAATGTGTAAAATTGTGTTTTATACTTAATATATTTTTGAAACAATTTTCACAAAGTATTTTGAACCAAAATCAAGCCTAAAATTAATTTTTCAAAGTGATGCACCAATCCATGCATCGATGCACCATGGAATAAATTGAACATCGAATGCATTTCATGCATCGATACACATACTATGCATTGATGCACTCAGAGTTTTATGAAAACATTGAATGCATTTGATGCATCGATGCAAAGTCATGCATCGATGTACTCAGTCTATTTTGAAATATCGAATGCATTTTATGCATCGATGCACTCTTCGTGCATCGATGCACTAAGGGTCCAACGGTCAAAATATTTGAATTTTACACTTGATGCACCGATGCACCTTGGGTATGCATCGATGCACTGACGCTCCCAACTGATTTAATTAATTGTTTTCACACTTAAACGGCTCTATTGACTCCACTAATCATCCCCAACATTCAGGATCATTTGAAGGAGTATTTAAACAAGCTTAGAAGCCATTGATCAAAAAGAAGAAAACACAAGAAACAAGAATCAAGAGAGAATCAAAGAGAAAGCATCAAACCTCAAGTTTAAGCATTTCAAGCCTATTTTTCATTTAATATTCATTTTGCTTTCAAGAACACTACTTGTACTCAATTGTATTCATTTTTTAGTTTTCTTTTCTTTGTTCTAGAATTGTGCAAACAAACTACCTTGTGAGGATTTTCTTGTAAGTTTGCAAATTGGTAATCTTCTCTTTGAGAAAGAGTGTTCTCAAGAATTGGGGTATATTCTTGAGGGAGTTGTAAGGTTATCTCTTTGGCCTCAAAAGAAAGAATAAATTAGTGAATTTGTTGAAAAATCCTTAGTGTGGATAGCTAAGGTAGTGGACGTAGACTTTGGTTGAGAAAGTCGAACCACTCTAAATCGCTGTGCAAATCTTTTTAATTTATGAAAAAGCTTCCACCAAAATTTTAATTGTCAATTCACCCCCTCTTGGCCAATTCCATCGATCGATTAACTCAACATATCTGCTACTACAATGGTATTCTCTAAGTTTGAGGTTACATAGAGAGTATCAGTCTTCTTACCACGAGCAATGACGAGTGCTCATTTGGTAATCTTATATTCACAGCCTAAAAAGGTTGTACAATATCTTTCTCCATAAACCTGTCCTACAGAATCAAAAAAAAAATAGACCAGGAATATGTCTCACTCCTTTCAGCTTCCATGTGGTCTGGTTTGGCAACTTTAATCAGATGTCTCATCATTAGCTAGATGGACCTTCCCAAAATCACCACTGACATAGTTCTCCATGATTTATTGGCATGGGGTGGTGTGGAAAGATGCTCCTGAATCCAAGATCCATGATTCAATCGGACTGTTGACGCTTAGAATCATGGCATCACCTATCTCCTCTGTCTTGTAGGCAGATTCCTCTACACCGGTATCTTTCTTCAATGCTCGGTAATCTCTTTTAAAGTGACCCTTCTTGCCACAATTATAACAGTTAAAATTTTTCTTTCTCATTCTTGATTTTCCCTTTCTAGATTCCGATCTGCCACGATTTGGATTTCTTTCTAAAGTTCTCCCTATAGACTTTGTGTGCAAGGCTGAGGAGCTTGATGCTTCACCCGATTCTCTCTGTCGAATTTTTTCGCTTAATACCAAATCCCAAACATCGTCGAATTTCAATTTACTGTTTCCCGACGAGCTGCTGACTGCTGTAACAGTAGCATTCCAACTATCTGGTAGAGATAATAAGATAATTGAAGCTCAAACCTCATCATCGAATTCAATTTCCACAGAACTCAACTGGGTTGTGATTGTGTTGAGTTCATTTAGGTGTTGAGCCACTGATGCCCCTTTTGCCATCTGCAAATTGAATAATCGCCTCATCAAATGGATTTTTTTTAGGCCGATGTCTTCTCATACATACTGGAGAGAGTCGTCATAAGACCCATCGTGGTATTTTCTTTTGTTATATTGAAAGCAACATTGCGGGATAATGTCAGTCGGATAACTCTGAGAGCTTGTCTGTCGAGAAGAGCACAGTCTTCATCCTTCATGCCCTCTTGTTGCTTTCTTGAGAGATGTTGATATAGATTTTTCTGGTACAGAAAATCTTGAATCTGCATCTTTCAACAGCCAAAGTCCGCACCATCGAACTTCTCAATTTTCACCTTCCCTTCGTCTGCAGTCATCGCTCTCACTCGAATATGGCTTATTTTGGATTGTTTTTGACAATTTCTACGAACCATTGTATATTAGAACACATCCGTCGACAAACTCGTATCGCCGACCAAATTTTACTATTCATGAAATTCACTATTTACATCAATAGTAACCTCGTAGAAAATCCGAAAAAATTAACCACCAAAAGCTCTTGATACCAGTTGTTGGAAATTAAACGAGTAATTTCCCTATAACCATATTAGTAAAAATACGAAATAAAAGCGGAAAAATAATATCCAAAATTGATAACGGAGTTCGTCCAATTATGCCTACGTCTCCAGACTACTGTAGATCTTTTATTAAAGAGAAAAAATTTATAGGTGTTAACAAAAAACACTCACAACTCACAAGAAAACTCTCAAGTATTGGGAGAAATAAATGATTTGAGATGACTTTGAAGCTAAATGAGTTAGGGTATTTATAATTGAAGCTTAATGATTAATTTTGTAAATATCTTAAAATACAGAGACTAAATTTACAATTATCCTATTATCATTTTTCAATAAAAATATGTCAAATTTTGAAATCATGCACTATTCGGTGCTAAACTTTGAAACCATGCACCATTCGGTGTCAAACTTTGAATCATGCACCGAACGGTGCATCCATTATTGAATTTTAACAGCAAGCAGCAGCAGGCGTTCGAGAAAGCTTGCCCTTTGGAGTGATTCTCGGCAAGCAAAGCATTGTTTGAGATTTCCATTCTTGAAATAAGTTTTGCAGTGGAGCAAAAGCTCTTGTCCATGTGATAAGCAATGCCCTTTGTGTTAAAAAGCTGAGGTTTGATTATCAGCTCTGCCATTTTATAACATGATTGGTCATTTATGATGACTGGTTTATTCATGATCTCGTTCGGATATGCACTTTCTTTGGGCTTCGAATTGTAGTGTCCGGTTCGATTATGATTTGGTTTTATTTAATCCGAAATCTTTTTATTCATTGTATCAAAGACATACAATACAACCCTAAAGCACATGATATTTTATGTCATTACAGAACAATATTGGATGGTCTTCAGAATCCCATTTCAATCATCGGAATCGACCCACCAGACGCCACAATCTGTTGCTCTAACTGCAATAAGAAAAGAAACCAACTTTTCTTAACCGAAAACAACCATGCATGAACGGATCAATTAGCAGAAACTGGAGTTCTTAAGTACTAACCCTGAACAAAGTTTCGAACTTGTTCTTCGCAAGGTAATACTCTAGCTTCACTTGTTGCAGACATGTTAGGCACCTAAGATTATATGTGTGTGTATATATATTCAAGATGTAGTAAATTTCGAGTAAAAGAGAACAGAAAACGAGAGATGTGGAGTAAACTGAGCTCACCCTTCGATGTTCTGCACCTCGCAGAAGTTGCGGAAAGCAATGCAAGCATTTTTAACCTTCTGTGCACCGATGCTGTTTTAAAACACACAAAAGAACCATCGACTCGTTAGTAAAAAAAAAACAATGAACGTTCAAACACCGCCGAGATGGTAAGGGATTCTCCGTCCCTGCGGGAATCGAGTGATAGAAGTTTTGAAGTTTTGCGAATTCGAGAGAAGATCCAGTAGACTCGAACCTTGTTCCTACATAATCCAGATCGATTCGAGTATGGAGTTGAGTTAATAGAAGTACCTGGAACTGCTACCTTTCAATTGATGAACATGTGCATCAACTTTTTTAAAGTCCACAATTGGCTGATCTCTGTAAGAAATCGCAACAAGAGACATCAAACTCAAAAGAGCTGCAAGAAAAGAAAAGCAGCCATGGAAGGAGCTAAGTTGACGCACAGAGTTTCTTTTTTCTTACAAAGCAATGGTGAGTTCATTGAGAAGTTTCTGGGAATCATCAAAGAAAAGGGAGACAACTTCAGCAACAAAATCTGGGTTGCTCTCATCTTGAAGCTGTTGCAGCTGTAAGAACTGACCATCCAAGAAACCCTGCTCTCATCACCACCACCAACAGAAAACCAAGACAAATCAAACAAAAACAGAGATTTTGTCAACAGATTTGGGTTAATTTAAAGCTTGTTTCTTTGGGGATTACCTCCATAAACAAGGACTTTGTGTAGTCCACCAAATTTCTCTGAATCTGAACCACCTCCATTTCTCTTCGCCTTTGTCTTGTGTCCCAAAACAAAACAGACTTTCTTACTGAAAGAAACTGCGAATATGAGTGTATGACCCAACAATGACAAAGATGGAAGCTTGTGGACTAAATTTTACAACTTTATGGAATTGAATTATAGCACAATCTAAGAGAAAACTCACAATCAACAGGTATAATACTTTTGTCTAATCAACTAATTCTAATGAAATATTATGGAATTCATCGAATATAAATGCCTTTTACAAATATTTTTTTAAAGTGGTTTGATATTTGATAGAATTTAATTTGTCAGGAAACAAAATTCCAATGCCTTTGTCTTGTCTAAGGCTCAGTGTCTCCACTTGCTAGTTTTTTGGGTAAACTATGTATTTAGTACTTAGATTATCAATTTTGATCCGTTTTAGTACATAAACTTTTATTTTTTTCAAAATCATAACTAATGTTTAGTTTTTATTTTATTTTAGTATCTGCCGTGCCGTTAAAAACTTAATATGTTTAGTACCTAAACTTTTATTTTTTAAAAAAATTTAACATTCAATTTTGAACATGATATTAAAATGAAGAAAAAAAATTAAACTTTAGGTATATTTTAAAAAAATAATTAAAAGTTTATGTACTACAAATATCTAAATTGTTAGTTTAGGTAGTAAATAATATACTTTTTTTTATATCTTTCCATCTTTATATTCATTTAAAATATGAATTTTTTTTGTATAAACCAAACATCTAGATAGATAAAAAGATAAAAGTCTGAATCCGAACATAGAATTTATAAAAATATTTGGATATTTATTATTGAATAATTAAAATTTTAAAACTATACATTATTTTCGTATTAATAAAAAATAATAAATTTAAAATGATAATAGCCATTAATTTTTTTAATGTTAATATTAAGTTATTTAAACTATTTTGTGTGGACAAGAAGACAAGCATGAACGTGGAAAGAGAATCCTTATCTTATGCTATATTTTATTGTTTTGATCTTTTTAAAATAAAAATAAAAAGCAAAAAAAGTAGAAGAATTGGTGAATTGAATTCACTATGGAAACCTCCTTTGTACAATTATTCTGTTCTTCATTATTGGTGCATATCATGGAAGATTATATTCAACATGCCAATGGTGAATAGCTGACATTAACGAGTGTTGATACAAGTAATTGAGATTCAAGAATTTAAGTTTGTATAGTTAAATTTGAATCCCACTATCGTCACTCTTATGGACAATCTGTAAAATCCTATATAAATCTCAATTGGATCTTAAGTATGTCTTGATCCGGATTGGGAGAACCACCCCTAACCTAAACTTTTTGTAACTAAAAAAAAAATACTTGGCCTTAGCTTCTTTGTTGATGTTATTTGATTTGTCGTATTATTTTACAAAAAAATAATTTTATAAATTAAAAATAATGAATTTTATAATATTATTATAAATTAATCATTTATATTTGTGTTTTATCTAGTGATTTCAAAAAAAAATTGTGGACATTTTATTTTTTTTTAATTAAGATGTGATCATCACAAATTAACTATCGTTAAATATTTTAATATAATCATATATTTAGTCTCTATTATCTATATATTTTCTTAATTTAGTCTTACTTTTAATAAATAAAAATAAATTTAATCCTCCAAACTAATGATGTCATGTATCATTTGTATCACGTGTCACTATTTCGTTTTTCTAATGGGCTCTAGCAAGTTGGGTAAATCAAACTAGGTCGGTCCATACAGATTATGGACCGAGACTACTAGCTTGATCCTTGAACAAGTCTATATGCATCTGAAAAAAGGTTGGCCGCTAAAAGAACACGGGGACATTGCTTTTACCTGCAAATTCCATCCATTGACAGCTAACAAATGTTTTAAGCACGAGTAGAATATGGAGAAAAACCTAGCCATCTGATAACACTAAATGAGAATCTTCAACAGAGAACACGTTAACCAAACTACTAAGGTTGAATCCGGTTTTCGGCCGGGTGAAAGACGAAATGCATGTGTTTCAACTATGTTTGTGAGAGAGTAATGAATAACATTTGTTAATAGTCCATAAAAAAACAATCAACAAAATAGTCCACATGAGGAAAATTCAGTATCCGATACGAATTGCCGTAAGATCGAAGCATGTAGCGTAAAGTTAACATACTTTGCAACTTCTTCTGCAATAACCAGGAAGCTCGGGAGATCCGATCATGTATTCCGGGTTCTTTGGACACTCGCCGAGAGCATCCCATCTCTATCAGCTTTCATTCAAATCTGTGCAGTTACCGCCGGCTGACAAATCCTTGTCAAACGAATCAACATGGATCCACTTTGTTGCTGACCATTGCTTGCCTTCAATTACTAGGCATCCGGCATGCAGACTGCTCGGGTCGGGGTAGCATTAGGGTAGAGACTGAAGAAGAGAAGGGCATCCCCTCTTTTTGGTTTCACTAATTATTTCAATGTTAAATTGCGAAGGTAAGAAAACAACAAAATATCAATTAATTGCTTAAACATTTAACTTTCCAGTTTCTATGCGACTAACCTGCAATTCCCTTCTTTGCAGTCTGAGAGATCATCTTTTGCAGGAGTTGTATGAAGTGGAGATTCCTGATGATGAAGTTATATTAGAAAAATCGTAATAATTACTTGCAAGATATAGATAAGGTAACCGCAGTCTTTCCCGCTTGACACTGAATTACCGGATTAAAACACCAGTCGAAAAGAACATGTGACTGAAAGCATATGAAAAAACAGAGGAAGAGCTCTAATACAATTATGGACACTTCAACAAACCTCTGCTTTGGGGAACACTGTTTCATCACCTTTGGTCACATTTGTAAGATACATCAGCACAGTGGCGAGTGGTGTCCACCCCTGGCAATGTTCACCTTGTCAAGAAAGTAATCGTAGTGCGGTTCGTATTTCTGCCCATGCTCATATCTCAAAACTTGTATGCCTTCCCCATTTTCTGGACGTGACAAAACAAAAATCATTAATATGTATGTATCTAGTTTTCCGTCAAACATATCATATATAAGATTTGTTTCTCAGCCAAGGAGTGGCACGAAGATTTACAATGACGATTAGAAGATGATCACATTATGATGATTTAGATATTGGATATTCAAATATCATTAAAAAATAATTGATTTCCAGATGCATAAATCATCTATCCAACTACATGGTTCAAAGATGAACAGAAATATGCAGAAGTAAGAGCCTTTATCCTATGCAAAACACGTTCCTGCCCACATCATAGTCACCTGTCAATCCTGTGGGATGAGAGTTGAGGCTTGTTTCTTAGACAAGGTTTAGTACTTTCAAACTTGTGGATTCAATCACAATAGCATAATCTAACTAAATTGAACATTAAATTGCAACAGAAAACCTTGACTAATTGAAGATATGTTTCAAAATTCCTTAACCTTGTTGTTATTGTGTGCAGGAAATCTTCATATCCTGTTAAAATGTCATGGAAACATAAAGTTATGACAAGGAATAAAAGAAGTGATAGTAGTGGTCACCAATTTCAGCTGGTGTCGATGGTGGTCGAGCACCAAGGGCCAGCTAGTGGTGTCGACGGAGGCCAATGGTGTTACCACTCAAATTAATCATGGTAAAAAGTTAGGATCAAGAGAGAAAGATGCATGACCATCAGTTTCCTTGAGCATATATTATTCATACCTTTGGGAAGAAATGTCCATGTTGAAATCTTTTCCTCAATACCATCAACAATAGGATCCTGCAAAAAGAAAAAAAAAATGATAATCAAATGCATAAGGGTTCAACGTTCCGAGTGCGACTTATCTCGCTAAAAGCTTGTCAGATCGAACACATCTGACCATGATTAACACACTTTTTTTTTTATCATTACCATACATAATACAACTCAAACCTATATAAACAATGCAAAAGCATGAAACTATCTATGAGATCGGCCCTATTACATTACTTATAAAGAGAATTGACTAATATTTCACCAAATCATACAAAAATAATTACCATTGACATCAAAGAGCCAATTTTAGAAAGCATAAGTGTTTAAGTGAAGCTTATCTTGAAATGCCAATAACAAAAAGATTTACAAGTAATATACAAGTATATTCTATAAAAAATGTATAAATATTGAACCTTTGTTTTAGCAATAAACATCCCCGAGCTAGTACGGACTTCGCTAAGCTTGCTCTTTCCACTAACATTATCAGCAACTGCAGATCTCTTTAGCTCCGATTTCGCCTTCACAGAAAATTTTAAAAAAAATCAGATTCTTATGAAAATGCTGAAATTAAACCAATTCGAGCTATAAAAAAATCGATGAAAGTGGAAATGCAACTTACGAGAGATATCAAATGATCGCATTCGAGGTCCGTTAAGAAGCTTTCATAGACAAATGAAAGAAAATGAAATTTCTTGCTGAAATTAGCTGCGAATTGAAGATAAATTGAGGACCTAGGTTTCCAAGAAACTTGTTTGACTTTTGAAGGATTGATAATGGAGCTTGGAGAAGTCAAGAAGGAATCACAAGATAGGTACAGAAATGAGAACAATATCATGAATCGCAGAGTATAACTCCTCGAAACAGCCATTGCAAATGCGGAAGGATTTGGGTAGAAAAAGTGAAAGATTTTCTGCGAAAATAAGAAGTCAAAATTTTCTCGGGAAAATGATGCTTTCGTAATCTGATTTCTGAGCTGTGAGTTATGAACAAGTAAACCCGTTGAAAACTATACAAGCAGCGATCCACGATAGTCGGTTAATCTTCAGCTGATTATTTTATGAGAAAATCGCCTCAGTGACCAAAAAAAAGTTATAATATACGATTTTAACCAACTTTTTTTGAATTTGCCAAAATGACCAACAAAATCGCAACGCGAAATAAAAATCGCAACGCGATCCCCAGAATCGCAAATCAGTTTCCAAAATCGCAACGCGATTCTTGAAAATCGCAATGCGATAGTCAAATTCGCATTGCGATTTTCCAAAATCGCAACGCGAATATGAAAATCGCAACGCGAACACATAAATCGCAACGTGTATCCGTAAATCGCAACACGTATGGGTAAATCGCAACGCGTTTCCGTATATCGCAACGCGTATTCGTAAATCGCAACGATAATCCGTAAATCGCAACGAGAATCTGTAAATCGCAACGATAATC